ATGTCTAACCCAGAGGGGTATGGGATGTCAGCCACTCGTCTAACCCAGAGGAGTATGGGATGTCATCGGCTCGTCTAACCCAGGGGGTATGGGATGTCAGGGACTCGTCTAACCCAGAGGGGTACGGGATGTCAGCGACTCGTCTAACCCAGAGGAGTATGGGATGTCAGCGACTCGTCTAACCCAGGGGGTATGGGATGTCAGGGACTCGTCTAACCCAGAGGGGTATGGGATGTCAGCGACTCGTCGCCACGGCGCCATCGAGCTGCGTGTTTCCGATGCTTTATCGCACGTCATTGTGACTATATGGGGCCTGTGAACCTTTTGGAGTATGACAGCAGGGCCAACTCTGGTTTGACCCTTGACGGACCGATTAAACTCATTGTTTCACGCTCACGTGTGTGCTACATCACAATGCAGATTTACAAAATCCGTCTCTGGCGTGAAAGTGCAAATGACAAAGACCTTAACCTCGTGCGGCCGGTGCAGCGACACTCAGATGCTTCTCACTGGTGGTTGACATTAAGTCTAAGCTTTCAGAGATTTGCGCTTGCGGTTGCCGGCTTGATCACCTTGTTCTAGTTCTGAGAAAAACGCAGCTGTTGATATAACAGGAATCTTATTATCTGTCCTAGCCTGCTAACCTTCGGTTCAGCGGTCAAATTTTCTCATCGCATGCGTGCCGATTGCGTGCGTAAACCTGACTGGCTGCGATCATCTCCTGATGGACACGCGCATGATACGATGTTAACCTGTTGCTGCTCAGCCACGCCGTGGGGTTGACCTCGGGCGGAACAGAAACCCAGCTGGCTGCGGTCATCCGCGAGGATGGACACGCGCGTGATACGGTGTTAACCTAGCTCTGCTCAGCTGCGTTTTCCCATCTGGCTGCGGTCATCCGCGATTTTGGACACGCGCGTGATACGGTGTTAACCCAGCTCTGCTCAGCTGCGCAATCCCGGCTAGCTGCCGTCATCCTCTCTCATGGACACGTCTGTGATACGGTGTCGGCCTAGCGCTGCTCGGTCGCGCTGCGGGGGTGGCGTCGGATGAACGTCAGAGACGGGGGCGGCACCAGCGCAAGTGGCTGGACCGGTGCGGGCAGCGGCGCAACAGAGCCGGCAGCCGGAGCTTTAGGGCATGCGGTGAAAAGGCACTTACAACTTGCACGTTACTTACTTACTACTCACTTATTACTTACTTACTCATTCAACTTAGACGTCATATGCGATTCCCAGCAGTTTTATTTGAAGGCACTAATCCGCGCATCAGCACGTGAGGGTGGATTTATCATGCCGCGCAAAATACAAACATTAAGTCGCTTGTCGGCGAGGGAAGCTTGGTACAATGCCATGCAACCAAGTTCAGTCTATCGCAGGAGGGAGAGGGACATCAAAGCGTCGCATATTGTAGCGTTCCAGCATTTATGACATCAAAAATGCGTTTAATTCCGTGCCCATTGGCGGAGCTCATAAAATATAACCTCGTAATGTCCAAAGCCATGCATCCAGTGATTGTAGCATCCGGCAATCGCGATATCCAGTTGAACAAGCTTTGATTGGCACTGCACTCCATCCTATGGATGTCATGAACGCTGTATGTTATGAACTATGGATGAACTTTGGATGTTGCGGTCTTGGATGCTGCAAACTCGGATGTCGTGATTCTTGACCGATTTTTGGATGCTATGTGCGCTGGATGCAGCGATCTAGAACGTAACCCACTGGGCGATAAGAACATTGGATGTTTCAATACGCACCCCATCCGGGGATTTGACCGATTTTGCCGACTACTGATGGGCGTCGGAGGATGCTGAAACCCCTATTAGGCATTCGCTGTTTTGGGATTCGCCGTGAAGTTTGGAAAGACTTTATATGTATTCCACCTGGTAGATTTGTATGATCTCAGTACCATACAACAGACCTGCGTCACTACCTATCATTAACATATGTACCGTTTTCTCCTAGGCCCAAAATCGCCATGTTCCAAGTGCCAAAATTGACTTTAATAGCTTACCGCCCAATTTCTCGAATTCGGCGGCCGGTGGCGCTAGACAGCGTAGTGCAGTGTACGGCGTGTTCAACTTGTAATGCAAATGTTGTGCCTTCGAATCTCAGGAGCCCACTGCGCAGCTGTGCTGTGCATATAATTGACGCGGACGAAGGCCGAACGTGCCTGCTTCCGTGAAGACTGCTCAATTTCCAATATTCGTCCAGTTCGTGAAGTCGCATATTCCGCCTTGCGTTCCAGCTATTCATTGCAAAGGAGATGGGTGTGGCCCCACACCGTCCACTGTCAACAGCCTGTAGGCGTATGAGCACCAGCTGAGGACTTGCAACGTTAGATGATAGCAATATTTCCAATTTGGATATCTGGCTTCAGTGTCTTCGGGCACAAGTAGCAGTTACAGACATTCTCTTGCTAGCTCCTGCAACAGAAATGCCAGGGGTGCTGAAAATGAATCCATTCAGCCAAATTCAAGCGACTTCTAAGTACAACCTTGGATGCTGGCACTGCCTGCGCAGAAAGACGCCGCATAAAGCATCGGTGGTGAACTCCCGGCGCAGTCGGGACACCGCTCATGTGACGTCACAGCTTGGTGGAAGCGTGCCTGTAGCGGCTTCAATAATGACAGACCCCTGGCGAGGGTTTCGTCGGGCGAGGAGAAAAGCCCGGCTCTCGTCGGTGGAGGGAAAACCCGGCCCTAGGCGAAGGAAGGCGCGGTTCTCGTCGGGCGAGGGGAGGCGTGGCTCCCGTCAGACGAGGAAGGGCGCGGTTCTCGTGGAGTGAGGGAAGACACGGCCCTGATCGGCCGACGTAAGGCGCGGTTGTATACCTCATTTTGTAAGGAGTTTTTGCCCCAGTGTGGCCGCTATGGGATGCGAGCATGGAGCACTGGTTTTCTGCGGCGTCAGTCTGTGACATTGGCAGAAGGGTTACGATCGAAATCAGCGTGGAAAACGACATCGTTTCATGTTCCGGAGTAGTAACATTAAAAGTCACCTTTTTGGATCAACAGGTTTTTATAAATGAAAGAAAAAATGATGTTAGCAAATGGCATGATTTCTATTCAGGTCGAGTATTTCCAGTTAGGTCGAACTCGACATTTTCCCCGTCGGTATTTCGACATCGTTGAAGGTGTTACACAACGATGTGATAGCCCCGATGTCATCGAATTGTGCAAGGTTTTATCGGCCTACCAAAATATTCGTCCCTTCTTTTTGTCGGTGCCAGGCCACCAGTCCAGCAGTAAACAGCCGCATAATGTTGTTTAGCAACCTGCCTGTACAGTTTGCCGTGCCTGTGTATGGCAGAAAAAACTGCTCGGACCGGTCGGCACGCATCACTGACAAGGTCACCTGGGCTTGTCCGCTCCGCCGTGTTATCTCCCGCCGGACCGTTAGCGGCTATGACAGCGTCTGACCTCCAGAAACACCTTGTAATTGTTTCATGCTGTGTGGTCAACTCTGGTTTTCTCATTGTAGATTAGTTGACAAATCCCTAAACCCCTGTCAAAATATCAACGGAGAGGCTTCAATTGATCCGCAAAGTGGTGCCTAGCTGAAATGATTAGTGGTTGGTGTGACGCCACGAAAACCCTTCCGCGGTCCGCCGGCGCCGACGAAATTTTGCGGTTCGGAGTTTTTCGACCTTTGACTGTAGAGCGGTTAGAGATGTATCTTGCCACCTAGAAATGACCTTTTCGGCCCTTCTCACCGATACTGCCACAAATGCCCTGTACCTTATAGATACTTTATAGATACCTTGGCGCAACATTTGGCGACTCCATTAGCAAGGGGCGACGCCACCAATTTGTATAGGAGGGGACGAGGTCAAGCAAACCTCGCAACACTCACACAAGTTGGCAAACCATGCGTTTACCATCCTCGCAAATGTCATCACTATGCAAATTCATATGTGCCTTGTGCTACTGGCCGGGGTGCCTTATCGCAGACGCCGATCGAAACCGGTTCAGAGTTTACCTGAGAAAGGCCCTGGGAAATGTTTCTGGCGCGTTGACGCCGTGGCGTGGCGCCGCCGACCAGCCACCAGGACATTCATGACGTCACGCCGCCTTATAGCTCGTTTCAGCGTCATCCAACTTTCGGTGTAGATGCCTCCTGAACCGGACATTAACACAGCTTCCCGACGGCAAGTTTATGATCTGCGTCTGTAGATTTTTCAGATGAAAATAAAAACCAAAGTCACTAACTTCGCCATGGCAGGCACCCAGGGAGCGTAGCCCTCGAAAAACCGCACGCGAAGTTAATCGTCTGTGACTCCACAACCTGGCGACCGTCTGAGGCTGCTTGGCGTGTTCTTGTTCTGAAACTATAGCAACGTCAGCCACTCGGCCCTCCTTAGCCTGTCAGCTTTCTCGACTTGATCGCTCTTCCGCGGTTAGTGATCACGTTGGGCTCCAGGCCACCGGGTCGGTGGGTGCACAGCCTCGCAGTGCCTGTTGCACCTGATGTGACGTGATGACCTTGAGCGTGCTACAGCTGGGCCGCACCGGGGACATTAGAACGGATTGCTGCTCTGTGCGTATTGTGCATCACCTAGGAAGTCGTGCTGCTGGAGACGTAGCTGATCATCCAGATAGTGTGACTTGACCCTGAGGTACTTTTCAGCGTTGGCTTCACCGCGAAGCAATATGTCATCACCTGGTGTGTGCTTCAGTGCAGGAGATATGTTGTAACACGTTCGGGACGCGAGGGACTTACTTGGCTTGACAGTGTGGTCGTCGCGTCGATGGCAGGAATGTGTGTAGATCTTGCAGTGACCCCCCCCCCCCTCGCCCACAGGTAATGACGAGACGGTGCGACTGATACGGGCAGCTGGCGGAGAGGCACACGCGTATACCTGCGATCTCTCGAAGCGTGAAGAGGTGTACAAGACCGCTGAACGGGTCAAACGCGAGGTCGGCAAGGTCAGTAACCCATCCAAGGTGATTTTCAGTGATTTTCACGGCATGATATACGCAGCTGACTCTTACGATCAGCTGTACGCTGATCGTAATATATATATATATATTATATATATATATATATATATATATATATATATATATATATGTCACTACGAAATTTGGAACGGACTATATCAACACCTGGAGGAAAATCTACATGAAACTAACAAGGGCAAACGAAATGCTACGCGCCCTAAACATTATGAACATTGACACAGCAGAACTGGGCTCGTTTCGGAAGTTTCATTTGCCCAATTTGCAAATTATTCTATTGAACACTTATGAGAACCTTTCCCTTTTCCGGGTAATAAGAAATTTGCTTTTAGTTGCCTCGATGCCCTATTGTCGCCATTGTCCCAACGATATACGTTCTGGCGTGTTAGCATCTTAAACAATAGCCGTTTTCACGATTAATGAATGCACCGAAAAGTTTTAAAAAGCTTTGAAAATGTTTCGATGAAGCTTAAGCATATGCCTAACACCATGACGAGGAAAAGATTGTCTTCATGCGATTCCATTAACATGGAATAAATAAACCAGGTGTTTCCAACCGTGAATAAGCTTGCTATCTTAAACGTGACCCTTTATAGACATTTCTTCAATCCATGCCTTCAGTTCGTCCATACTCTAGAGGAACTACTAGGCCTGGCAATCAGCAGTGTGAATCGGTCGAGCGCATCGGGTGCAGACTGCGCCATTGTTGTTTACATCGGTGCTGTGTGGAACAAGTCGGGGTTTGAGCATCATGTCAAGCCATGTATTTACTGCGGGTGGCTCCATACGTGTGGCTTAATGTTGGATTCGAGTCAATGGGTTGCAAGTTGCACGATAAACACGAAGATGCGGCGAAAATGATGACACTGGGAGAGTTTGGGAATGACATACAAAGTCGAAGCAGGACCGTCTTCTTGACATTTCTCAAGTTAAGATGTGGGCGCAGCACGGCTCCGGGAGGCTGCAACGGCCGGCGACAGGTGGTTCCAGGACAAGACCGCACGATATGGAAGTACACTCTTAGACATGGACAGCCGGAAAGGGCAGCTCCAAAGCGCCGCCCATCGCCGACCTCGTGATACACTCACTCACAGCGGTCCGAGGAGTGAACAGCGACCGGACCGCCATCGGGGCACGGGGGGGGAGGGGGGGGGGGGGCATTAAGGGCTCTGAAAACGCCAATGTGATCTCGGCGCGTAACAAAGTCATTGATACCAGCCCAGCGACCTTACGATCGGTGAAATATGATCTGGACCTCCGAGACGATCACGACCGCGAAATTTATGATTTCTTGCACCAGGAATGATAGCAGGCGGGGGCCACGCCCCAGACTGAGAGGCAGTACAGGACGCGGGGAAAACTTGGGTCTGGGTAAGGAGAGTGCGGGATTCGGGTGTGAAATGACGACAAATTTTGTATAGGCAAAACAGGATGGAGTTGCACTTTTGAACCATTTCGGCTACGTGCTCCCCCCAGGAAAGGGTACAATCGATGGTCACTCCCAGTATCTTCACGATCGGCGAGAGTTTTTACGGCCTGGGACATGCCCACCGGAAGAAGGGTGGTCTAGTAGTACTCATCTAGGGAATTGGCAGTGAGGTAGGGTTGGAAGGCAAGGCTGGTTTCCTCCTGACGGGACTTTAGGGTGGACATGTGGTCGGGGTGGGTGAAGTCGAGGAGTTGGGTATCTTACGCCACTTTGTTGTTGTAAGCTGCCGATCACCTCAGCAATTTTAATCTACCTGCCTCTAGACTCAGACGCTTTCCAACTTGGAGCGGTGCTGTGGACTGGACGGTGAAACACTGCTGAGGCGAATCCGTCGCGTGCGACGGTCAGCAAGCTTCCACCACAGGGGCGTATTTTCGCATGCAGGTTTGGGGCGCCGAGCGGGGAAAATGACCAAACCTGCCCTTAAAGTGCACTAAAAGCAAGCTTTTCCCCGTATTGGATTTGCTTTCCTCAAAGTTAAAGAGCTTGAGTTTCCCCAACTGAATAGGAAACTACGCACCTGCTCCAATGCGTTAAAGAGCTTGAGTTTCCCCAACTGAACAGGAAACTACGCACCTGCTCCAATGCGTTTCCTCGCTCCATCTCAGCGGGAGATGTTGTCGTCGGGCATGATAATCACCGCGGCCTCGATGGTCGAAACCAGGCTTCGGTAATCGACGTAGGGTCGATGTCACTCAGACGTGCGACTTTAGACGTGTTAGGCGTGCATGGCTTCGGAAATAATGAGCGTAAGTCGAAGTGTGCGACTCTTACGGCCGCCGCTAAAAACCCCGGCAGGAAGCCGCAAGGCGGGCTTCAGGCTGTAACGCAGCATGCGCGACAGGCATGCCGAAACGGCTGATGTTGTCCGCTGATCATTGTCGGACGATTACCGCTGTCAGTCTTGTCGCGTGGTGTCAGTCCTCAGGTCTTCGTAACTGTTTCATTGAATGTTCACTTCATGGTGGAGGTCGGCATGTCTCAAAGGTTCTTCCGAACATAGCGCCTAGGAGAATCACCATGTTTTGGGTTGCTAATATTCGACCTTTTGTTTGTCTTAACTCTCTGATAACACGTTGGGCAGAATTTTCCAGAGAGCGCACCTTGTTGCAGCCTATATAACTTGGAAAATCGCTGAAAAATGCCAAAACACTCAGACAGAACATAAAACTAGAGAGAAGTTCACAAGGCAGGAATTGTGCAATTAAATCGTGCAAGATACAAGCAGACGGAATGCTCCCATAAACGTGGTACGAACGCGGAGATCTTAAGTTTGATGAGCTCGCTCAATTGCACTCAACAGAAGGTGGCCTCGCAGCGTGCACTTTCTTGTTTATTTTGTCTGTGGAACACTTATTAGACACCTTTTTTATAGATCTGATATTTAATGCACTGCACGCACATACGTAGACCCCAGAGGGCTGGAGGACCAAATTCACGCGTGGAGGGGGATGCCAACTTGATTTCGGGGGGGGGAAGCAAAAGCCTAGTTGAAAGAACACAAATCAACACCCGTGCTCATAACTATCGGTATACTTTCAAGTGGAAAGGGCTGCTCAAGACAGCAAAGCTACCTTGGTGGGCTGCATAGATGATGCATTCATTACTTATACGCGAATTACTTCCGCTGCAAAAGTTTATACACGACATTAGCGCTACACGACATGGCGCATGCTTCCTAAGCTTATACAACCATTACTTACACACGGCATTACTTCTGCTGTAAATACTTATGTGCGACATTAGTGCTGCAGCAAACACTTGTGATCAGGTCTCCACCGTAAAACTAATGACTGGTTTATGTTTTCCGGCGTGCATCTTGTCGTGTAGGACTTATGCCGTGCATGATTTTTTACAGCAGAAGTAATATCGCGTATGAATGAGGACTGTGCAAGTCTTTGTTGCATAAGTAATGACGAGTATAATTTTTTGCATTACACGCCTTGTCATGTAGCAGCTATGCCATGTAAAGTCCGTGCAGTCGAAGTAAGTACTGCCATGTCGATGTCGGAGGACATTTTGCCGAGGCACCAATGCCGTGACAGTTATTCATGGTTTTCTTGCATTTTTGTTCGTAGGTTTTGAGTGTTTTCTTTCTATAGGGTTATAAACTGCACCGAATGATATTCAACGTGGCTTTTGTTCAAAACCTGATGCAAATGTGGAAGACTTCCCTTAAGGAAATTCAAGATTACCTCTGTGACGTCAGCACTGCTATAGTTGAGTTAAAGCATAACTCTGTCACGTGCTCAAAACTACCCGGATGGAAATTACTATAGTTTGAAGCATTTGGTGACTCAGCTTGCTCGTACAACAAGACGCAAACGTTCCGACATGTGTTTTCCACAAGCTCACGCTGCCAGTGTTGGCGAGTACAGGCCAGCGCTAAGCTTTGAGTGTCGCCTGACTGGGATGATCTGTTGTAATTTTGCTTCCATTTGGGCGGTTTTGTCACAAAATAGTTCGTTAAAGTGCCTCACTCTTGTTGCCGATCACATCCGATAAATCACAACTTTATCACCCCTGGGCTTGACTTGGCACATTTTATGCCTGTTTTCTATTTTAAATACTCCATATGTATTCTGAAGCTTTCCTTGCGCTCGACGCACTTGGAGCGTCACGTCACGTCATGTCTTGAATGACGTGACGTCGTGACGTCACGAGATGGCGCCAAGATCACGAGATGGCGTTGTGTCCAAGGCGTATGCATCTTTCTCCTTAATAGCTTTTGCGTCTGTTTCTAGATGGCCATTTAGTCCTCGTATTTTTGTCTCAATGAATACCAGTTAACGCACATTACTCAATCGATATTTCATGAAGCTCCAGTATGGCATCTTTGTCGTTCCACAGTTGGTGCCGATATTTCGAAGTCTACCTTGCAACTCAGGCCGACGTCGGTCTGTGGTCTAGCAGGCTTTCAATACGCTGAAACATGTCACATTATATCATATGTAATCATAATAGGTATGCAACATGAGCGCCGTCCTAAGCCTCACAAACGAACCAATACAAATCACCCCGCACACAGCACCGCTGTTCGCCGCCCCATATTGCGCTCGGCCTAATCTGGGTGACAGACAGTACTCGTTGATAGCAGCGTATCAGTCTGCACTGAAGCAGGCTCACGATAAGGCACGGTGGCCGACAATATCGCGCCAGAGAGCACACGGCCCCGCCGCCCTTCGCCGCCGCCGCGTCCGGGGCGGGTCCAACCGCCCCACCTGCCGCCTGGTGGCGCTCAGTCGAAGCTGCCGCAGATGGGGCCGAACCGGACCTGCTCGTAGGCTGTGCAGATGGCGTCGCGGAGCCGGTACGTCTCGGCGGCGTTAATGGTCTCGGCCACCACCTTAACCTCGACACTGTAAATGTCGTTGCGGATCCAGGCGCGCTCGTGCAGCATGTCCTTGATGCTGACTCCGAGCTTGGCGAGGAGGCGCGTCAGCTCGGCGATGCCGCCGGGGCGGTCGCTGACGGTGAC